TTATTTGCACTGTCTAAACAAAAATTAATTCATATTTTTTCCTTTATTTTTTTATTAGTTCCCCTTGTAACTTTTTTCATCATTATCCTATTAATTTTTCCTATTTTATGCCTTAGATTTATTTAATTCAATTTTTAAAATTTGCGGGCATTAAGCAAAATATTCCACATATCTAAGGAAAATAAATTTGTATCTTTAAATGGATAAAATAATCAAAAAATCAATTAGTTTCATGGTAACACATGTGCGAAAGAGAAAAGGTAATATTTATTTACAAATATGTGGTATTATTTCCCCTTTTTATTCAGCTAAAAAACGTTCGTTCTTATCTTTGTGTCCTTTTGACGCATTTTTCGAAGTTAAATAGTAAAAGAATATTTAGAAAAATATTGATAATTTATAATCAATTATACTTTGCTATTTTTTTTTTAAAGTTGCTGATACCTTTTTTGTACGGTGTTCTTTTCCCATAAAAATACAAATTACTGTTGCATGTAATAAAAATAATAATTTGTAACATATTAATAAATTTTCACCTTTGCATTTTTACATATAGTTCATTGAACCCTTTTTTTTATGTACAAAGAAATTAATTCATGAGAAATTTCAACAAAATTTATAATGAAAATTAACAGCAGTAATATCTTTAAAACATGTTATTTTTCAATTTCAGCAAATTGGTTTGGTTTTATTTACATATTCTACATCTTTATATGTGCACATCGATTTATAGTTTCGATCTTTAGATAATGGATGTGAAACTGCGAAGGTTAATTATTTTAATAATAGCTGATTGCGTCTTTATAAGACTTCTATCTGGCATAGTGAGCTATGTTAGACTTTTTAAATGTGTTCGAAAATTTATTTTCCTTTTAATCATGCATGCATAAGATTATATTCTAGTTATTCTTAACCTAACAGAATTCATTATTTTTGTTTATATTATTATTATTTTATAAATTTCATTTTCCTCTCCTTTACATAGTATTTTATTGATTTGTTGCGTTTTTATATATATATGCCGGTTATACATACTTTATTTTTTTTGATATTGTTGCTTTTATTTTTATTTTTATTAAAATTACTTTTTTATATTCATTCGCAATAATTAATTATGCATGACTAAATATAAATACCTGTTGATTATTTTTTATCTGAAAGTGGAAAATCGCTACCATTTCCATCAGATTATTAAATACACTGTCAATATATATTATGAAGTGACCAATAATGATCTTTATGTAAAAAGCTGTGTGTATGTACTAATATGCTTGCACTTATTAATCTAGATCGCATCGATATTTATTGTTATCTTCTGTGTCTTTTAGTTGGGGGTATTCATATTTTAATTTCCTTATAGCCGAGTGCTATTAATAAACGTCTGATGCTTATTAACAATAGTATTTCATCTATTTATCTTGTACATGTTTTCGTGCGATTTTGTGAGAGAGTAAAATACCGCACAGTCCACAAACTCTTCAACTAAACGCTAAGATATTAACATACATATAGAAATAAATTCTTATTATTATTCCATATCAATTTTCGTAATCGCATTTCCCTTATGTATTTTAGCTCTATTTATGACTACCCAAACCTTGCCTGAGGTGAGCACTATAACGGGCGAAACACCTTTTTATTCCACATTGAGTCTCTCTTTTGTTTCAAAGTAGGCTACGGGTATATATTTGCGCTTCATTGATTTCAAAGGGCGGCCTTTTGGCATATTTTGAATCCAGCGAGGTCTAAGCCCTACGCCGCCCCCATCCAGTCGGGCGCTATCGCCACCTTGACCTCCACGCGGCCCAATCCCCGTCGAACCGCGCGATGGACTATTCCCCCTCGGAGAGCCGCAGCCCCTCCTGGGGCGGCCTCTTTCACCCCGGCGAGGCGGCCGAGGCCAGCAATGACAGCCGCGCCAGCGCCCCCAAACCCGACGGAAAGGACCCGATCCCGATGGTGAGCTTTTTTGACGGAACCAAGGCCGGGCTTCAGAAGGTGGATAAGGACAAGACCGAACTCGCCATCCGCCAACTCTCCTCGGGCTCACTTTTCTACAAGAACGAAGAGCGAAAGTCGCACGCGCGCGCGCAGCGGGTCGAGGCCATGCTGGAGAAGAAAACGCTCTACGAGGCAACGATCGCATCGGATCCGGGCCGTCTGCGGGGCGTATGCCACGAAGTGGCCACGATCGAGCAGGACCTCGAACGGGAGCGCTTTTTTGATCGCGTTTTTGCGCATATCGACATGGACATGTTTTACGCCGCGGTGGAGGAGAAGAAAAACCCCGAACTCCGGGACGTCCCTTTTGGCGTGGGCTCCCTGCAAATGCTCTCCACGACGAATTATATCGCCCGGCAGTACGGCGTTCGCTCCGGCATGCCCGGGTTTATCGGGGTGAAGCTTTGCCCGGACTTGCGCATCGTCCAAACCGACTTTGCGAGTTATCAGGGGGAGGCCGCCGTGGTGAAGGCGATTGTGTGCGAGTACGATCCGGACTTGTGTAGTTTTGGGCTTGATGAGCAGCGGCTCGATTTGACTGACCACCTCGCGCTTAATTTTCCCGACGCGCAAAGTCTCGAATCGCGGTATGCCGCGGCGGAGGAGGTGGTGGCGGGGTGTCGTGAACGAATTTTCGAGGCCACGCGCCTGACGGCAAGCGCCGGGATCGGCCCCACCCCCACCCTCGCGAAAATGGCCTCAAACTTCAACAAACCGAACGGCCAACACACCCTACGGCTGGACTCGCGCGAGGCCGTGATGGCGTTTATGCGGCCTTTTTCTTGCCGCCAGGTGCCGGGGATTGGCAAGTCTTTTGAGGCCATTCTGCAGGGCCTGGGAATCGCCACCGTGGGGGATATCTACGACCAACGCCACTGGCTGAGTTTTATTTTTACACCCAAAACGTTTTCTTTCCTTCTTTCGATGGCACTTGGCGTCGGGGGTTTTATGGGAACCTCTCACGGCGATTTGAATGCAGATAAAGACGCCCTTGGCAATCTCAAGGTGGACTGCAAGTCTATCGGAAACGAGTGCACCTTTCAGCATCTCAAACATCCACGGGAGATGGAAGAGATTGCGTATGACATCCTTCGGAATGTCGTGCGCAGGTTGAAAAAAAAAGCCTTAGTGTGTGGGCGGGTGGTGCTAAAGCTAAAGCACATCGAGTTTCAGGTTCGACAGTACAGCAAAAGCCTTCCAAAAGGATCGGACGATGAGGCGGTCTTACGCCACGCGTTAGATGAGCTTTTGGCGCCTTTTCTCGAGAGCTTTATGAACTACCGCTTGCTTGGTGTGCGGGCCGAAAAACTTATCCCGGAAAAGGAATCGGAGGAGCGGTCAGAGGGCAAGGGACAAGCGACACTCGATCGATTTTTTAATATGGGTCGGGTAAAGCGAGACCGCGAGGAGCCGTCAAAGGACAAGGATGATTCCGTGGAGCCGGAGGCGACGCTGCCTCGACGGACCCCTCGAGGCGACTCCTCAGACGCCCAGGCCCGCGATACGGGCGGTCACCTCGGCCATGGAAAGAGCCCCACGATGTTGTTGGCAACACCGAATGTCATTTTGATCGATTCCCAGCCCTGCACTCCCCCAACGAAGAGGGAAGAATCGCCTCCCTTGACGATATCGTCCTCACCTGCGGTACTGTCATTTCATGAACTATCGACCATTTCTCCTCCGTTGGAAGTGCATCCTACCATCCTAACACCCAACGGTTTAAGTGATAAGGAAAACGAAGTGTCTAATGCTGATTCTAACGATGTGGTGTTCATTATAGAGTGAGTCAATTGCGCCTCCCCAAAAATGGCGAGGTGTTCATTTCTGACAGGATTTAGTTCTTTGCGCGCCGCATTAGCTAACACGCGTCCTTCCAAAATTTCTAGGGTCTACGTGGACTGACTCAGTGCGTCCCTCAACGTTTGTTTTAGTATTTACTATCATCGTTGGTCATATTTAATGCGTTAAACAATATTGCACATAAAATTGTGTATATTCTGTCATCAAATAATCAGTTTCCTCCGCTTCCCCAGGTGGCAATATTGCTCCCATCTATATCCTGCTTGCTGATCTAAAAAGGGATTTGGTTCGTCTTTTGGGGGGGGGAGGGGGGGGATTAAACAAATATACAAACATTTGTAAACACAAATTAGCACAAATGCGTATACTAACTCATTACTTTGTAGCTTAGTTAGATCCAAAGCATCTATGCAGTAGCTTCACATTGGGGAGAAGGAATGGATCATTCTATATATCTTGCAAATGTGTGCTTTGGTCATGCATTCTCTTGTAATTGAAAATCATCTTATATAGTTATTATGATACAAAAGAGAAAATCGGTCCTTTTTTTCCGATTTAAAAAAAAAGCAGAAATATTCTCTCGAGCCCAGACGTAATGAACTTACCATGTCAAATTTACTGTAAATTAAGTCCACGTGGCGTTCCATCTACAAGTGTGTGTGTTTCCTAAATTATGTCTATTCTGTAGCGCATCCAATTAGTCACCATTACCATAGAATAATTCAAAATCCTTATACCAATAAAGACCTTAAAGCATAAACATTTTTTTTAGTTTTTTTGTACCATTTCCTATACAATATAAACTAAATAACCTTATTAATCATAGAAAGTACTAGAGCTACAAATGTTTCAGAACACCTGTCGCTTGTGGGTATCCCATACCCTAAAACAGTTCGCAGCGACCCCCAAAAAGGCGATCGCCGCGGCTGGTGGTGGCGGTCTTTTGAAAGTCGCGCCGATCCCAGGCTCTGGCGGGCAAGTCGGTGAAGTCGGCCCTGCAGGTCGGGAATCCCCGATATCGGATTTAATCCCCTCCAAAGAACCCGCGGCGAGCGCGAAGTCTCGCAAGATCGCTGGCAAACTGCGCTTCGACGCCCATAAGGCGGGCCTGCAAAAGGTTGATCAGGCCTATGTTGAGCAGGTGATCCAAGAAGCCTCAAAAGATACGGCGTTTTACCGAAAAGAGCAGCGCTGTGAGGAGGCCCGCCGCCTTAAAGTGGACGCGATCCTCAAAAAGGCGGAGGACTATCCCAACCTGCCGAACGAACGAAAGCAGGCGCTGCGCAGTTATGTCGAGACCCTCGAGGCTGAAATGGAGGCGGCTCGGGACGTCTCCCGGCGCTATATTCACATTGACATGGACATGTTTTACGCCGCGGTGGAGGAGAAGAAAAACCCCGAACTCCGGGACGTCCCTTTTGGCGTGGGCTCCCTGCAAATGCTCTCCACGACGAATTATATCGCCCGGCAGTACGGCGTTCGCTCCGGCATGCCCGGGTTTATCGGGGTGAAGCTTTGCCCGGATTTGCTGATCGTGAAAAACGACTTTGCGAGTTATCGGCGGGAGGCCGCGATCGTCCACGCCATCGCGGCTCGCTACGACGCGAATTTCGTCAGCGTCGGCCTCGACGAGCTCACGATGGACCTCACGAAATATCTGGACGGCTCCGACGGGGGGGTCGCCGCGCAGCTTCTGCAGAACTTCCGCGATGAGGTCCGCGCGCGGACGGGGCTGACCTGCAGTGGCGGCATCGCCCCCACCCCTTGCCTGGCGAAAATCGCGAGTAATGTGAAAAAGCCGAACGGGCAGCATGAAATCGTCCTGCGGAGCCGAAAGGAGGTGCTGGATTACGTCAAGGCGATCCCCCTTCGCAAGGTCACAGGCATCGGCTACGCGCAGGAGATGACGCTGAACGCGCTGAACGTGAAGACGTGTGGGGACCTGCTCAAGCACAAATACCTCCTCGCCTTTCTCTTCAAGGAGAAAACCTTTAGGCTCTATTTGTCCATCGGGCTGGGGTTGATGAACGCGCAAACCCACAAGCCCCACGAGGCCCGGCAGTCTATCGGGAAGGAGGTCTCTTTTAGCGAGCCCTTGACCTCCCCCGAGGCCTTTTCGAAGCTCTTTCGCAAGCTTCTCGAGACCTGCCATGTGCAGTGCGTGCAGAAGCAGCTCTACCCCCAGCAGATTCGCTTGGTGTTGAAATACCGGACTTACGACAACCAGCAGTTTAGCACTCCCCTGCCAAAACACACTAACGACCTCAAACTGTGGTTGGAAGCGGGGAAGAAACTTCTGCAGCCTCATCTCTGCCAGTTTGACGAGCTGAGGCTGGTCGGCGTGCGATTGCAGAAGCTCGCATCCGAAGAGGGCGTCCCGTCCGATAAAAAAGGGAATTTCCACAATAACACCGACGCGAACCACGATGAAAAAGGGATGGACCACCACGACGAGAACGGCGTGGACGAGGGGAAGCATGGCCGCACTCGCGATGTCGAGCGCATCGAGGAATCCGATTCAAAGACGTCTGGCGGCATCCAAAAGAAAGGACGCGGCTCAGATACCCGCTCCAAAAAGCCTTCGCGCGTGATTGCCTCCGCACCTGCAAAATCTTCGAAGCAAGGCGGGCGTGCACACGCAAAGGTTCCTAAAAAGGCTGTCAAATCCACCACTAATAACCCCCAAAAGAAGCGACGTTGATAAATATAGATTTCATTAGGGCCAAAGAAGTAGTTGTAGATATCTTGTTTTTAACCGAAAGTTTTGTGAATCCTTAATAGTTTTTTTCCCCCTTATCTCAGTACCTTTTCTCTAAACCCCTTCGCACCTTTCCCTTCTTTTAGAGTTCTTTTGGAGTCTAAATGGTTTGCGCTTTTATATCGCTGTATCTCTTGGTGATCTACTGTTATTTTTTTTTCTTCTTACCCGATCACTACCTCTGCTTCCAAAGCTAGTCTCATCCTTTAAGTTTTGTATTGTTTTTTCTGTTGGTATTTTGCACTTCGTTTGGAGGGGATGAGGCGCGTAGCCTTGCCGTTGGCGCGCTTTTTAGGCACCGCTACGTATACACCCACCCCGACTCTTTTTCCATTACATACTGGAATGAGGAAGTACTTTAGTAGTTCACGAAAAAAAATGCTTCAAAGCCCTATCGCAACATCACGAATGTTTTCCTCAAAATGTTCACAAAATAAGTCAGACAACCTTGATAAAAAGGAAGGGAAAAACTCTTTAGAGAAAAAGACCTTGAGGGCTCCTCGTGTCTTCAAGGGTAAGGATGACGATGCGCACGTCGTGATCAACTCGAAAGATCAAAATCTGAAGCCGCATTTAATTCAAACCACATCAAACAACGGTATCTTACCTAATCATAAACCATTGACAGGGATGGAAAATGGAGTTCAGCCCGTGATGACGAGCACATCGCGAGTGATGAATCCACCCCCAACGAAAAAAAACGAACCAAACAATGACTTAACGTTAGCAAACGTGCAAACGCTCACGCGCTCTTTGAAAGGCAGTCATTACCTTGAAAACTGCAATACCGACATTTTGGATACTCCCCTGAGCAAACAAAATAAAATGATCCATCAAAAAATTTTCGAAACCGTTGATCGCACCGTCATCGAGGATACGGCGTGCATCAGCTACCCTTTGCATACTTTTGAGGCCATCCCGGATTCCTTCGTGCGCTCTTTCCGGGCGCATCGCCAGCTCCAGATATGCCGATCCATCAAAGAAAAGTACAACATGATCAAAATGATCAAATATCTGGAGGAAATCATGCGGTTGGAGATCCTTGGGCAGGTTTTTTATTTCCGCGTCGAGCTTGAACCGTTGGCGGCCGACCCCAGCCCGAACGGGGCGCGCCAGGGCGCCCGACGCCGCCTGCAAGCGGAAGTCTTTGGCCGTCTTAAGCATCTATTGACGGAGTTCGCCGTCAATTTTCTCGAAGTGCGGGAGGGCGAGGTGGCTTGCGATGTTTCCCACTACACGTCCTTTGCCAGGATTGTGAAGGCCTGCCAAACCAACGTCGCGCAGTTCTCGCGGGATGTGCATTGCGTGTTGAAGTCCACCCCGTTAGATCCCAACGGGGTCGTCGGGGAGACGCCCAAGGAATCGATCCTTCCACTTTCAATCGAAGAGGTCGCAAAAGAGGTTGGGGTGCGCATTAATAAAGAAATTATTCACCCCTTGCTATCACGTTATAAAGGAAAGGGGGAGAAGGAGGAGGACGCGCGTGCTGTTAGGGTTTTTTTTGGCATCGGCCCAACACCCGTCTTGGCGAAGATCGCCTGCGATGCGGAGATCGCCACCTGGCGACGCCAGCACCCGACCCACGGCGAATCCCCCCCCCCACGCGATCCTCAAAGTCAAGGGCATCCAAAGAAATGGATTCGACGGACAAGGTCGTGGTGCGCGTTCGCTCCTTGTATTCTCATTTTAAAACCATCGAAGACGGTAAGAAATTTATGGCGAATTTTCGCCTGGCGCAGGTCCCGACTTTTACACCCGCCTTCGTGCGGTTTCTATCTGAGGTCTACGGCATCGAAACGTGTGGGGATATCTTTGAAAAACGCCATGAACTTCACTTCAGCCTCTGCAAGGAAACCTTCAAACTTTGCTACTGTACGGCTTTCGGTCGGATGCGATTCCCCGAGGAGGAGCAGGTGATCCTGTTCAGCCAGGCCAATATCATGCACTTGATGTTCAAACTCAAGGCTTTGACGTCAAACGAGATTAGTATCGCGAACCCCACCCGCACGGGAACGCGGCGTATTGTGCTTACTTCTATTGTAAGCTTTAACCGAGAAATGAATAAACCATACCAACTCAAGATGCATAATCATAAATTAATCGATTCGAAGTTGATGTATGGCAGGCTTTTTACGGAAGAACAGTTTATTGAGATCATTGTGCGGGGTACCATCAAGGCACATGCGATTATTATGCGAAAAGCCATCCTGACGTCCTCGATGCGGGTCGGCGTGCGGCGAGGTAATGTGCTCCATCATACCATAACGCGGGCATTCCCACCAACGGATGACTTGGAGGTATTAAAAGCAATGGCGCGCTCGCTCGCGCTGGAAATCGCACCGTACCGTCAGCAAAAGGGCATCGATAAATCGAATGATATGAACTGGCTTCAAGTGGTGCTTGGCTCCTTGAGTATTAAGCAAATGATCCCTAACCGGCTTGCAGTGAAGCTAAAGGAGGCAGAGGACGAATTTTTCATTTGCATCAATATGTTAAGGAAATTCGGATTCTGGAGGTTGAGGGATAACAATTTATCGCGTTCAAGAGCTAATAGCGCACAAATTATATCCCAATATGGACTATTAACCAAAGAAGTAATGGAAGGGACTATCATGGCACCAGATAAAGTGTCAAAGGGCGAAAAGATTATAGAAATCTAAAATTTTGAGATGAACGCTTAGAATTCAACAAATTCAGTTGAAAGGTCATTGCTGGACAGCATTTACCTTATATAGTGTTTTTTTTTTTAGAGAACCCCATCCTTGATAGCAAATGGTATATTCCACATATTTATTCACAGAATATATTTATATAATTTATTACATCTTATGAGGCTTCTTTTCATCTAAAAGGGAGGAAGCGCCGTGGATAATTTTTCAAATATTCTCGTTTCCCTGGCAAGACACCAGCTACATTCGCTTTGCCCGCGAAACCTTACGCAAAATTATCTAAACTGAGACCAGAATCCTCAATTTTATTCCTGTAGCTAATAATGATGAATTAAAAGGATACATTCGATGATTTTCTTTTAATTATCTTGAATAGAAATAATATTCGAACTATTGCTTTACATCATAATTCTCTTTCTCTCTTTTTCTTTCTCTGTGTGTATATGTTGGCGTATTTTTTATTCCTAATTGCATCATTACTTGTTGTTATTCTATAGGGGAAAAGGGTAAGGGTTGTGCTTATTGCCTTGATTAATCTATGGTTCAGCCCAGGTGTCTCGGAAAAAAAAAATCCTTCATAAACATAGAATAAAAGGATAGGTTTTTATTCAGACGCACCTATGTGGCATCCTCATTCCATGCTCTCCGGTCATCCCTATGATGTCTATTCTAGTCTTCGACCTTTCAAATCTCCCATTGGCGAGCGGAAACTTAGAATGGCAGATCCCATTGTGTGCATCGGCACTCAATGTGACGGACGCGTTGGGGATGGCCGGAATGATCTTCCCTCCCCATTCCCTGGAGCCCCCGGGAATGCGAATTCCGTCGCCTTCCATCCCGGAAGGCCCCCCGGTGGGTATTCCTCCCCGTCCTTGGAGCCCGTTCGCGATGCCTGTTTCATCGCGCGGTTGGAGGGGTCGGTGGTGACGCTGGCAGTGGGGCACCGCTCCAACACCGCCACGCTGCGCACCGCGACGGTCCACCCGTCCGCCCCCTCCTGTCTG